GATCACAAGAGAAAAACTAAAATCCTTCCACCAATTCGAAGTATTTTTATCCTCGGTTACGCTTCCTCATTGTCAGAGAGCTAAATGAATTTCATGGAAGTTCTTAATTCATATTTGGATTACCCCGTACCCGCTAAAATAGATTTTCTTTCTAGGTGTTGACTTGGAAAATTATTTGCGGTCTCCAAGAAGTTGGCTTCGTTTAAAATCAAATTTCTCGACCAATGATGGTTCACACCGCAAGCGCATTCATTTCTTACAAGTATTTGTTTGGTAGAACATCCCGAACTGTTAATTTTGGCAGAAAGAAACGCCTCCATTTTTGTCCAGTGGTAATTTCCTAGCCAACGCTCACTCAACCTAAAAATTATTTTGTGACTGTCCTTCTTAGGTCACGAGGCGTATACATATATATATCTACTTTACCATGTGAGGCATCAAAATACTACGGCGAACGTCGTCTATGCGCGTGATAAGGCAAAATGCCGCTGGCATTGCAATGTCATTCGATTGATATCTGTGACAGACAGTTCGGTATGTCATATCGATTGAAAACTTCTCTGTTTCACCCGATCGTCGTTATTTAAACTCGTGAACCACAAGCCCATATTTTATTCATGATGAAATGTGCCACACATCTCAGCTGTCACGCAAATTTGACTGATCCTCTTAAAAACAGGAGACGAGTTTTCCAGTCTGAAAAACATCAGTAACGGGCTGTCGTACCGCGCGCGGTAAACATCTCAAGCTAGATTAGCCAGTTGTTAAAACTGACTTTCAGAATCAACATTCCTTTCCTATATTTGTATACCATTGTTACGCGCAATTTCTTAGGTTCTTTGTTAAAAATGTGGCAGAGTTGTTATTTAAAAAAATAGAAACTGTTTGTTGATGATAAGCAACAGGTGCAGGAAATACGCCTTATTCAGTGTTATGGTAGATATCATACACCGATATACAGTATTACGAGTCAATAATACAACGAATGAGAAACTTGCGTGTATTGTCTTGCACAAAACCGAATTAACGTTAATTATTTTATGGCTGGGAAAAATGAGGCGAAATTCTTTGTTTTGATTGGCTAGCAGAGTACACAAAATAACCGTCTCTTGGGAGAGGAGGGGGGGGGGAGAAAAGTGGGGGTCCAAACCTCCCGCCTCCCTCCCCTTGCATTCCAGGTTCCCGCCATTATACTCTTGGCTTCTTTACTTAAGTCCTTTTTCATTTGCGAAATATTTTAGTTTCGGAATTGGCCATTTGCAAGATGGCGTCCTTTTACTACTACTACTACTACTACTACTACTACTACTACCACCACCACCACCACCACCACCACCACCACCACCACTGCTACTACTACTACTGCCAGAATCCTTTAGGGTTCAAATTAGGGCTTTTGTTCTTCAAACCTCACTGGGATTACCAAATTTAAAGTATGAAAGAACAAACGAAATGAATTCTGGTCTTTTAGTAAAAAGACGTTATCATGCCAATCGCCTATTGAAAAAGATACGCAACAATGCAACAACATATTATATCTGAAACTATTGTCTGCTGAAAACAAATCGAAGAGAAAAGGAAAGACTGTATGTCATAACAAAACTATAATTAAAGTCAGCATATTGAGCAGGGATGAATATTGTCATCAGTCAGAATATGAGTGCCCGTTTCGACTTAATTCAGTCACTTGCTTATATCTTATGTTAATTATGTTGTGAGTTAATGATGCTTAAAATGTGATCGTATACCTTCGTACTCAAATTTTTTTTCTCCGTTTTGGATTGATACAGCAAAGAATTACAGGTACGTTGTTTATCATTTACAAAATGTTTCCAGAAAATCTGGTTGAAAGTAAATGGGATACAATATTTTCGGTCTTCCAGCGGAACCTTTTCGGAAGCAATCGAACATCTGGAAAGGTAGTCCTGTTTTTACGGACGGAATGTTCCAGACGGAAATTTGTGTTCAATTTCTTGAAAGCCATCTTTAATTTGAGGCCTTCACTGTCGTTTTTCGGTAATGGAACTGATTTGTACAAATGGTAAATGCGATTCCAGGACGAAATTTACCAGTCTTGAATTTTGCTTACCATTTGCCCAAACCGTGAACCGACCTGTTTGCTCAAAACAATTAGTTCATACTTCAGCTGTGCGTATGTCGAGATATCGAGCACTTGCAAAGTTTGGAGAGCACTCATAAGGCTTCCATTAGGCGAATATTCTAGCTATGATAAAATGTAATTTTGCAATGGACGTTTTGATGATGATTGTTCGAAATACATGGAAACGACAGCTTCACGCCCAATGTGCAGTTAGCAGTATTTATTTCAATCGCACATAAATCCTCCTATTCTTCCGAAGCTTTAATGCGCGTTATAACATTTCTGACTATTTCAACTTTGCCTAAATCGCACTCCACAGTGAGTCCATATGTGTCAACTCGGGGAATACGCTGTTAGACTGTAAGGCTGCAGCTTTGGGGAACGACGAAGACTGTTCTGTTTAAGAATTGATCGGAAATCTTCATAGACTAAGACGGTTCGGTTACTCTCTGTTTGACTAGCTAAATACTAAATATTCTCCAGTAAGCAGTCTCTTCTTCGTCTTCTTCTTTACCTATATATGTATATATTTTTCACTATCAAGAGAGACGTACCGGAAATAATTTTGGGTGAAAAACAAATTCTTTATTGACGTGGAGGAAAGCCAAATTTGTGCCTTGTCTTTCTTTGAGGATAAGCAGAAGGCGAGGATACCAAGTTCATGGCTAAATAATACAGCATGACGTAATGTTGAAATCAATAAGTTATGAGCCCGCAGGCAGGTAGAGGCTGTCAAAAATGACACGAGTTTGTCGATTAATTCAGAGTTGTTGTTCACAGTGTTTCACATGTCCACAGTAAGTAAATATATTGGAGTTGGTCCCGCTGGTCGACAAGGGTAGAAACGTCATTTTTTCTTTTGCGACAACATGTTCGTAAAGAGCTCTCTCATAGGTTTGTATTATTAAAAGTTTTACTATCTTTCTGTTTTTCAAAAATTTATCACGTTCGATAAAAAGCTTTTTCTGAAGCTTGTGTTTTGATAGCAACAATTAATTCTTCCAAAAACCTTACTACATGTTAAACTGTTATTTGCCAAATTAATTAAAACGAACATCACCAGATTTTAGGATCTGGCGAACAAATTTCATGTAAAATCTATTACAGCATACAGGCAATCCTAAGCATCCATTAATGGAAGTCTTTAATAACACAATCAAATCAAAATGAAATCTTGATGGCTGTGATTACGTTGTTTCCTGAGCTCGATTAAATGTATTACAATATGTGGTGTTATTTAATGCAAAAAAAGACAATTTGAAAGAAGCAATTTATTCACCTAGCGTCAATTGTATAGTGGCTTCTGACAAGTGCAATATCCACCTTCTAGAATAACTTATCTTATGATAGCACAATTAGAATTATTTATGTTCCCCGTTTCACATAATATACACTTTTTATTTACACCTTCGGATTCCAAGAACACAGCCTTGTAACTTTAAATCGTTATCATTACTTTTACGGCTCGTAAATAAGTTATGTCTATGATGGAAGTTTGAAATTGTCAAACAATTTCCTTTGCAACAGACGCCGTATTTTACAGTGTAGACCATACACACGAATAATTTTCGTATGCGATCGAACATCGTTAAGAATCAGCAACCAGCACTTTTTTTCTACCTCTTCTCGTAACATTTGCCTTGAGCACGGATGTTTGAGGTCTAGAGTAGCTTTACCTGCAGGTGGGAGCCCATAAGTACATAATGTTCTTGTGATGAAATTTTAAAATCTGAAAACAAAAAACCGCAGATTTACAGCATTCTCGTTTGGAAAAATATATTTTTTACTACTAAGTGATGATGATTGATATCAAGACAGTTTTTTGAAATCGAACTAAATTCAATGTTATTTTACTCAATGATGTATGTTTTGGGGTGTCTAAATTTAACGTAGCATGGTTTGAGTTACCCAACTCATATTTCTAACTCGTATCATTTTTAAGACTGTTACTGCCCATAATTAGACGCAGTCAGCGATATTTAAATCTATTGTATTTTAGATGCTCAAGGATAATCTGCAGACATCATTATATATTTATTGGAGTTTTAAACACCTTTCACATTGATAGAATTAAATGTATATAGACTATCATATAGACTGCGATTAATTCATGGGAAACTATAATATATTACGTAAGATTTAGGTGGCCAGTGAGCCTAAAATCGGCCATACATCAGTGAGGCCTAACCTTCCTCAATTATCACTTCTCTCTGATCATGGTCAAAGGGATCTTTGAAGGTTTCAGCTGTATCTCCTGTTCCTTTTGTTCTTTCATTTAGCAAGATATACTAAGGATTATTTATCTTTTATCGCAGAATGTAATGTCTATGCCGCATCCGCCGCCACTTGGACTGAGCTGTGCTGTGCTCGTTAGCAGACAGTTTTTCTCACTTCTAGCCGACTTTTCTGATTGTTTTTAATATATATCTCACATGAAAAGGTTTGACGCAGCTTGATTACTATACACGGAAGTAGAACGCACAGATAGGTTCTCACCTCCTCAAAACTACTCAACGAAACTTTGAGTTCTCTTAATTTTTTTTTTTTTTTTGCTGATTCTTGGCTATTCCTAGAAGTAAAAGAAATTTTTTTCGCCGATTTCATTCTTTCTTCTTAGCTCAAACGCCATATCTGGTGAAAAAAATGGGCTCAAATGTTAACATAGGCTGCCAGTGCAGTTGATCACCAGACAATTGACGGTTTTATGTAAAAATGACTTGTCCGTCGTAATCCATGTCGTGGAGCTTGTTTCATTCACAGATCAGCTGCACATAAAAACAAGCTCCGTACAGTAACAAGTCCAAAACCCAAAGTTAGATCTAGACAGCCTTTTTCCTGACCCGGAATCAACGTTGTGCCATACAATTAACAATCGTTTTTTACCTTTGCTTTTATTGTCATTACAGGTAAAAACCCTAAAGAGGCCCAAACTAAGAAGGCAGACGATAAAGGGAAAGAGCAAGCTGATCCCTGCAGAGGAGAAACATGTTCGGCGCCGAGAGTTCGGTTTAAGACCGCGGACGATGATATGGACGGAGTAATTGAAGATCCGGGGATGGTTGCCGATGAAGGTTCGGAGAACAACAACGTTGCAGCTCGGGTCCCTTCGTTTTATATTGGAAAACCGCTGGTGGATTTTGATGCAGGCATTGGAAGGGTGTGTAGCACATTTCCCCGTCCTGATAACTAATTTGCAGCAGGAAAGGTTGAAATTGTTGTTCTTAAAATTGCAAAAAAGCGTATTCATTAATTTTCATTTTGTTTGTTACAAAAACGTTCTAGGAAAAACCCGATCTGCCGTGTTTTAGGCCGCTAATTGCCTTTCTCAGCAAGTGCACCGGCAAAATTCATCGTCATAACACCGAGTTTCGGGTTTTTACAGTTTATGACTCTTTAGTATGGTTGACCCATTGCAAACTCAAAAGTGCAATTAATGGAAAAGTCGAAAACAAAAGGCAAATTTCCTGTTTAAAAATTTTGTCATGCAGAAAAGACGGTCACAGCACAGGATATCGACAACACACTTCCAAGTTAAAACACTAGTTAATATACATTTTTCTCAGTATAACTGGCTCTATGAGAGTAAGAGGTTCAGTATGTTATGTGATTTACAAAAGTGCGAAATGGGTTGATCTCATACCATCTATGACGTCATTTTCTGTGACAAATGTCATTACAAAACTTGCCTTAGGAGAAAAAACCCTCTAAAAACAAAATGTCTAGAAATAAAAACATTTAAGAAAATTTTAAGAGAACTGTTGTCTCGTTGCACATTGCAGAATGTTGAGTGAGTTACGTAACGTATCTACAATGTAGTACCTAAATGAATTTAATTTTCTTCTAGGTGCCTTGTAACCACACATTCCTTGTGATTCGACGCCAAGGAAAATCACGCTCTGATCACGTGTACAGATTCAACAAGGCGCCTTCACTGGGTCTTTTGGAGCCTCTTAGCCCCATCAGGCAGTTTGCGATTAGTGTTGTCACTAATAGGTATCCTTTGAAAGTTCAGCATGCTCTATCAAAATAACATGATCGAGTTGAACTGGTTTTATCATGCTTGCTACAACTTACAGTATAGGGTTGCAGAGAGTACGCAAGCGGGAGATATTTGTTTGCGCCTCCCCTCAGAAAATGGTAAGAACGAAAGAAAAGGAAATACGAAGATTACAAAAAGATCAGTAAGAATACATTAATAAACTACTATTACTATGACAACTACCATATTCTCTTATGCATCTATCAATGTAAACCCCGATAGAATTATTTATGTTCCCCGTTTCACATAATATACACTTTTTATTTACACCTTCGGATTCCAAGAACACAGCCTTGTAACTTTAAATCGTTATCATTACTTTTACGGCTCGTAAATAAGTTATGTCTATGATGGAAGTTTGAAATTGTCAAACAATTTCCTTTGCAACAGACGCCGTATTTTACAGTGTAGACCATACACACGAATAATTTTCGTATGCGATCGAACATCGTTAAGAATCAGCAACCAGCACTTTTTTTCTACCTCTTCTCGTAACATTTGCCTTGAGCACGGATGTTTGAGGTCTAGAGTAGCTTTACCTGCAGGTGGGAGCCCATAAGTACATAATGTTCTTGTGATGAAATTTTAAAATCTGAAAACAAAAAACCGCAGATTTACAGCATTCTCGTTTGGAAAAATATATTTTTTACTACTAAGTGATGATGATTGATATCAAGACAGTTTTTTGAAATCGAACTAAATTCAATGTTATTTTACTCAATGATGTATGTTTTGGGGTGTCTAAATTTAACGTAGCATGGTTTGAGTTACCCAACTCATATTTCTAACTCGTATCATTTTTAAGACTGTTACTGCCCATAATTAGACGCAGTCAGCGATATTTAAATCTATTGTATTTTAGATGCTCAAGGATAATCTGCAGACATCATTATATATTTATTGGAGTTTTAAACACCTTTTACATTGATTGAATTCAATGTATATAGACTATCATATAGACTGCAATTAATTCATGGGAAACTATAATATATTACGTAAGATTTAGGTGGCCAGTGAGCCTAAAATCGGCCATACATCAATGAGGCCTAACCTTCCTCAATTATCACTTCTGTCAGATCACGGTCAAAGGGATCTTTGAAGGTTTCAGCTGTATCTCCTGTTCCTTTTGTTCTTTCATTTAGCAAAGTATACTAAGGATTATTTATCTTTTATCGCAGAATGTAATGTCTGTGCAGCATCCGCCGTCACTTGGACTGAGCTGTGCTGTCCTCGTTAGCAGACAGTTTTTCTCACTTCTAGCCGACTTTTCTGATTGTTTTTAATATATATCTCACATGAAAAGGTTTGACGCAGCTTGATTACTATACACGGAAGTAGAACGCACAGATAGGTTCTCACCTCCTCAAAACTACTCAACGAAACTTTGAGTTCTCTTAATTTTCTTTTTTGCTCATTCTTGGCTATCCCTGGATGTAAAAGAAATTTTTTTCGCCGATTTTATTCTTCGTAGCTCAAACGCCATATCTGGTGAAAAAAATCAAATGTTAACATAGGCTGCCAGTGCAGTTGATCGCCAGACGATTGACGGTTTTATGTAAAAATCATCCATATCGTGGTGCTTGTTTCATTCACAGATCAGCTGCACATAAAAACAAGCCAAAGCTCTGTACAGTAACAAGTCCAAAACCCAAAGTTAGATCTAGACAGCCTTTTCCTGACCCGGAATCAACGTTGGGCCATAAAATTAACAATCGTTTTTTACCTTTGCTTTTATTGTAATTACAGGTAAAAACCCTAAAGAGGCCCAAACTAAGAAGGCAGACGATAAAGGGAAAGAGCAAGCAGATCCCTGCGGAGGAGAAACATGTTCGGCGCCGAGAGTTCGGTTTAAGACGGCGGACGATGATATGGACGGAGTAATTGAAGATCCGGGGATGGTTGCCGATGAAAATTCGGAGAACAACAGCGTTGCAGCTCGGGTCCCTTCGTTTTATATTGGAAAACCGCTAGTGGATTTTGATGCAGGCATTGGAAGGGTGTGTAGCACATTTTCCCGTCCCGATAACTAATTTGCAGCAGGAAAGGATGAAATTGTTGTTCTAAAAATTGCAAAAAAGCGTATTCATTAATTTTCATTTTGTTTGTTACAAAAACTTTCTAGGAAAAACCCGATCTGCCGTGTTGTAGGCCGCTAATTGCCTTTCTCAGCAAGTGCACCGGCAAAATTCATCGTCATAACATCGAGTTTCGGGTTTTTACAGTTTATGACTCTTTAGTATGGTTGACCCATTACAAACTCAAAAGTGCAATTAATGGAAAAGTAAAAAACAAAAGGCAAATTTCCTGTTTTAAAATTCTGTAATGCAGAAAAGACGGTCACAGCACAGGATATCGGGTACAGACTTCCAAGTTAAAACACCAGTTAATATACATTTTTCTCAGTATAATTGGTTCCATGAGAGTAAGAGGTTCAGTATGTTATGTTATTTACAAAACTGCGAAATGGGTTGATCTCATACCATTTATGACGTCATATTCTGTGACAAATATCATTACAAAACTTGCCTTAGGAGAAAAAAGCCCTCTAAAAACAGAATGTCTGGAAATAAAAACATTTAAGAAAATTTTAAGAGAACTGCTGTCTCGTTGCACATTGCAGAATGTTGAGTGAGTTACGCAACGTATCTACAATGTAGTACCTAAATGAATTTAATTTTCTTCTAGGTGCCTTGTAACCACACATTCCTTGTGATTCGTCGCCAAGGAAAATCACACTCTGATCACGTGTACAGATTCAACAAGGCGCCTTCACTGGGTCTTTTGGAGCCTCTTAGCCCCATCAGGCAGTTTGCGATTAGTGTTGTCACTAATAGGTATCCTTTGAAAAGTTCAGCATGCTCTATCAAATAACATGATCGAGTTGAACTGGTTTTATCATGCTTGCTACAACTTACAGTATAAGGTTGCAGAGAGTACGCAAGGGTGAGATATTTGTTTGTGCCTCCCCTCAGAAAATGGTAAGAACGAAAGAAAAGGAAATACGAAGATTACAAAAAGATCAGGAAGAAAACATTAATAAACTACTATTACTATGACAACTACCATATTCTCTTATGCATCTATCAATGTAAACCCCGTGGGGGAGGGGGGGGGGGGGCGGGCAAGGGGTGGTGATTTGACAAATTTTAAAATTTTTTGATCAAATTCCCCAGGGTGGGAAACGAAAGGTCAATCAAAAGTGTCAAAAAAGCCCCCACCCCAGGGGAAAAATCTAAACAAACAATACTATAATACTATATAAAACGAATGAAAGAACATTTCAAAAGTACGTTCTTACTACTTTTAGTTAAGGTTAACATAAGCTCCGTTAAATTACTCGCTGTAATTAAGTATTTTTCTCTCTCCACTAGCATCTCTTCTTTTAAACAACATAATCACTCCAGGAAGATTGACCATGCTATTATATTAATGAAACGTAAAATGCTTTATAACATCGGCTCAACATGTCGGAACAGGTCGGATCAGTGACCTGTAAAAAATCCTCTGACTTTCATGTTAGAATTCGATTTCAATCGAGGTTTACAATCAGATGGGAACTTGAAGATAAAAACTTTCTCAAAATAGACATTATCTGTTTAGATGACAGTGTACATGTAAAGTATCGGATTATGGCGATTAAAACAAATGTAAACTCCATAACTTTCTCCAACAGCGTGACTTTCAGAAAGCCTCGAGGGACGGACTTGGTTACCGCTTCTGAATTGATACCAGGCTTCTATAGGTCAAAGTCAAATGTCCCGACCCCGGGGTCGCTTCGCACGTTTTAAAGCCCGACAGGGGGATAGTCTCAGGCATCAAATCCCCGCCCCTTTCCCGCACTCCCCCCCGCCCCCACGGGATTTACATTGATAGGTGCATTATTCCAAAACTGATTCAAAAAGTCCCTAAATCTACTGTTTCTATAAGGTGCACACCGCCATTTATATCAGAGATTAACTAGACCCGGTTTGGTTTTGAAGGGGAAATCTTATCTTAGACCCCATTTAGTTGACCGAGCATAATTCCACAAGCGATCGACAAAGTTTCTCTTGGACTAAACAGAAGAAATTAAGGAACAGAATCAAGAAAAATAAATAAATTAAAGAGATTAGAGAGTCAATGAATCCTTCCTTGACTGCAATTTGAGATATTTCGAGTCATTTGTTATTCTTACCATTCTGGCTAACTGCGTGTTTCTCGTGGTTGAAAGCGCACCGGAGGAAGCCGAGTAAGTGAACTAAACTAACAACAGAAAACCAATGAAAGGAATAATGCTCGCTTTTATCGCGTTCACCACCAGTTCGTCGGTAGCTTAAACTTACCGCTAGTCTAGGACGGCATGGACTCGGGTCTGTCTCAGATTTTTCCTTTCTGACTTTCGTGACATTACAAGATTAGTACCTTTCTTATTAACGTAACATTTCCTCTTTTATCTATCACTACAAAGGGTTTATTCCACGTTGCTGACCCTTTTTAAAGGATCAGTAAATTCTATCTATCTTAATGGATTATTGGGGTTGGAAAGGGCCGAAAGATCATATGATGTGCCTATGTTATGTCTGGTCCAACCACGCAGGGTTTCACAACCTTTTCAGGTTCCTAACAAGGTTTTTGGGTGATCCTGAAGGATCACAGATACAGACTATGAAGCAATTGGTAGGCTGATGAAACATTCTTCTTTCAGATACTTTTTCTCTGGAATATACACTACGGAGATGATTCTCAAGATTTTGTCTCGCGGGTTTATTTTTCATACATACGCCTACCTCAGAGATGCCTGGAATTGGCTGGATTTCATAGTAGTAGTATTGGGGTAAGTTAGGTCTTTGTAACAGAGAGTAAATCTCCACAGTTTGCACTTTTTTAGTGTTTAAAAACTTGAAACGAGGGACTAGAGGTTTATTGATGCCTTTGAAACTCGCAGCGACTTTTCTCTTTTAAAATGGTGAGGTTTTTCTTCCTCCAGATATATCACAGTGGCACCTAATATCGCCAACTTAACGGGAATCAGAACTATCCGCGTGTTTCGAGCTCTTAGAACATTTTCCGCCTTAAAAGGTAAGTCCACTGCAGTCGTGAATTAAGTAACCTCTGTTAGTTTTCGGAGATCGAGAAGGAATCTTACACCCTTTTTCTTTATGACACCGCGTTTGGCATCCTTTGCAATCTACAACAAAACAAAAAACTCCGAAAAACACAAGTCTCCAATTTGAACTGCTTCTTAACTGCAATCCAAACTGTGTACAATCCGTACCCTTTACAGAGGTATAGCGAAACAACATTAAATAAGCCCTTAGAAAACCCCTAAATGTTTGATGCTTTTTAAGGAAATAAAACCGATTGTATATCTTCTACGATTGTGTATGCAAACACTTTTTCCATGCTAATAATTGCCAAATTACTTTGTCATTGAAGGTCTCCGTGCGATGGTAAATACGTTACTCCGATCTCTGAAGCTACTGAGCGATGTCTTGGTTTTGTTTTTCTTCTTTCTCGGTGTCATGGCGCTTATAGGACTGCAGCTGTTTTCTGGAGAACTGAGGAACAAGTGCGTCCTCAGCATTCCATTTGATAATAATTCTTTGAGCCTACAGGAGCGGATTCTTAACGAAAGTAAGGCATTAATAGCAAGTTAGTTATTAATAACTATTAACATAATATCATTGTTATTTTACCATCGTCTTCGTCAACCTTTAACTTCGATAACTGAAAATTCTAACTGGGTTTTTCATCAACGTGCTCTTACTTTGGCAATTTTTATCGTCAATAAAGAATCCTTACATGTGACACATATAAGTTGAGGGATAAGCCATGAGATTATTCACAGAACACGGCAAAGAAGGCTGGGTAGCGGCCGATTTGCTAAAAGAAAAGCTCAGTATGCCTTGTTTGCCTTTCTCTCGACCTCTATGTTAATAAAAGCCATCATCTAAAATCTTAAGATCACTGAGGCAAGAAAAAGTAATTCATTTTCAGGTTTTTGGTTTACTTATGATGGCGAACCTTTGATCTGCGGGAACAGCTCCACCGCTGGGTGAGTATTAGATATCAAAAATTTTCAAAGAGTTATTTCCAAAAACAAAACCCCAGTTGCAAAACACTCATTGGCCGATAAATGAAAAATTATTCTTTAAATAAGCTTGAAATTGACACTTGTCCAGTAGACCTTTCGATTCCACGTTTTTTTTTTCAACTTTTAACATGGGCAAGTTTGGGAAAATCCGTCAACTCCGCAGGAAATAGCGTCTTTAAATTAGTTGCGAAATTTTGCAAACGTCTGTATGATGGGGACACGAACCGGTCCTACCATACAAACGCCTATAAATTTTCGCAACTTTGTGGAACTATATCTTGCTCGCTCAAAACGTATCATTTTCAACCTTGGCAATTTTACTAATTTTAAGGCGTTCTTTCCAGTGTTGTCGACCAGGGGCGGATACAGGATTTTTCTTAGGAGTGGGTGCACCACTAAAGAACTACCATTTTTACTGCGTTTAACATGAATTCTCTAACCTCGTCTCATGTTTTACTTCAACACCAATAAAACACAAAGTTTTGTTTTTGCAGAATACCAGTTGTATTAGAAAGCCGCAGGTCATCTCAGGGGAGGGGGTGCGCACTCCCCACACCCTCCCCCCAGATCCGCTTTTGTCGATGGATTTTCTCTAACTTGTCAATGTCAAAAGTTGAAAAACCGTGGAAAGGTCTATTCAGATAGTTTAAATATTTTGCATCTTATGTAGGTCTTGTCCATCCAACTACTCTTGTATGGCTCATGCAGGGCCAAACCCTGATCATGGCTACACATCGTTTGATAATATTGGTTGGTCACTACTTATGGCCCTACAGATACTAACAATGGATTATTGGGAAAACCTGTACGAGAAGGTAATCGAATCCATCTATATATAAAAGCTCCACAGTAAAACTGAAGTGGATAAAATGTTTAAAAAATGGCTTCGCGCCCTTTGCTCTCATTTTGACCTTGCACAGACCACATGTCTATTTAATTTGGTAACGTTACTAAATGTTTTGAACTCTTTGAAATTTTCAAGGGACTTTTTTTTTGCAGAATTTAGTGAAATCACATCTTGTCTGAAACAATCACTCTCCCCTTTAGGGTAAGCAGTGACAGGTTACAGCTTATAAAGGGCAGCGGTATTTGTATGCGGCCTTAATCGTTTGCCACATTTCCATCAAAATATTTAGTAATACTTTTAGTTTTTCTATGTTTAAGGTGTTACCGCTCTTACTACATTTCTTGGAGGTCAGAAAAACCTTAATTAGACCTGGCACCTTTTCCAAGCAACCAACGCTGCCTCTTCACAGTTCTCATTATTTAGAAACCTTAACCTTAGTTTCTGTTGTTCTCTCAGATCATCAGGTCAACGGGTGCAGTTTATGTGGCTTACTTCATTATTGGGATATTCTTCTGCTCTTTTTACCTAATGAACTTGGTACTGGCGGTGGTGTATTTATCATATGAACAGGAGCTGTGTTCCGACGAGAGAGAGGTAATAAATATACTGAACAAATTAGTAAGTTTCACAACCGCGAAATGGTTAGTGGTTGGTAAGAGATAATGAAACAAAAGTAGGATGCTTCATCGACTGGATTGACGATACAGTTGCTCCTTAAAAATATAGCCTATGAAGACATTGGATGTAATTACTTGTGAGGATTTGTTCATTACATCCAAACAGGAGCACGGTTTTACTTGAAATAAATGAAATACTCGAATTCCTGGTATGAATCGCAGCTATAGCTTGCGCCGATGTGTGCTTCGTTCGTTAACAGTCAAAAGAAACGACAGGCGAAAACGCGCGACGAAAGAACTTTTGAAAGCCTTGCATGGGCAAGAGCCATAGGTGTAGTTTCGATATTTGTTGAAGTCCCTTACCATCTGGTTTTCTCTTTAAACTATTAGAGAGAAAAGAGAAACCTCCTGCGACAAACTGGTCCTTCGTACCCGGCCGACAAGGAAACGTTAAGACGTCTCGTTCGTTTGGATGGAAGCTCTCCTCCAGCAGCAAAGGAAGAACTAATCGATAAAGCTCACGGAGCAAAAGGCAAAGAAAATGAAGGGCATCAGTGCCTATTGCCAGTTTGTGCACTTAGAGAGAGAACGGGGGTGAATGATGTGCAGTGCAATGTTCTTATGCGTATACGCAACTTTTTACAAAAGGTGCGACAGTGGATGTACGATATCACCTCTCATTCCACTTTTGATGTTATAATTGTCATTCTTATACTCTTAAACACTATTGTACTGGCGTTGTATCACCATGGTATTGGACCAGAGTTTCGGCACGTCTTGGACTCTATCAATCTAGTAAGTGTCATCATGACATGTTTTGTTCTTTGCCATTGATTCTCTTTTGTTTCGGGACAGACGAGTTTCCTTACATACAAAAGTGTTTGAGTATCTTAGAGTGTCACCTTAACAGAAATAATTCTCGGAAATACTTTTAAACTGATGAACACCTATCTAATATACGAGCCTTTAAGTTAGGAAGGTTCTTCTTGAAATGTCGGCAGATCTAACCCGCTGGTCGTAGTTCAATGCCCACCGGCGTCAAAGAGTTCTTTTTTTCCTTGTGTGTACGTAATTCACTTTACTAAGACACTCGGTGCGATTTATGGGATATTTCAAATAAGTCAATTGTTCAGTCATATACGTCACAGTCGTAAAAAGCACAATACAGCATAATATAGCCTAATGATAAGCATTTGGCAAATAACTATGATGATTAGGATTTAAAGATTGACATTAACATTTACTGGCTCTTCCTATCATTGCGGAACAATATCAAAAAACTCCTTGCCTTATATAACACAGGATAACAGCCCCAAAGAAGTCGAGTTTTATTATATCTCTTTTTATTTTATCACGCAGGTCTTTACAGTGTTATTTGCGACGGAGATTGTGTTCCGATTGGTTGCAGTCGGACCGAAGGCGTTTATCCGCAGTCGATGGAACGTATTTGACACGACAGTTGTATCAGGAAGCTTGCTAGGTTACTTTTACAAGTCTGCCGAGGGACTCAGCATCTTTAGAACGTTAAGATTGGTAGGCGGTCAAATAAATCTCTCTCTTGAGTTCGACTTCGAGCCTTTTTCTATAAGCATGTTTCTTTTTCGTTTTTATATGATTACGAAGGTTGAATCAGGATCGGTATTAGTATCATTCTTCATCGAGATACATTGTGGAATTTGTCTACATTCTTTAAGGTTACTCCAAGTTGAAACTCATAAGAGAGCTTTGGAATCACGTTTACGGAATATGACATGGCAAGTTTTAATTCAGGAATTTCTCAAATTAAGAGATGGTAAAACACAGACCAAAATAATTTATGTGGATGAAGCTAACATGAAACAGTGATAAAAAGTAAAGAGGAAACATGGTCATGGGGCACAATTTGACTTTTGCCGTTTGCCGTGAATGGTATACGGGATTCTAAATCTCTCTACCATAATGGTAGGAAATCGTTTGCCTGAGACAAAAGCGATTCAAATTGTACATATATGTTATTTGCCGACTTGCCTTGTAGGTGCGAGTTCTTTGTTTGGCTAAGTCGTGGAAGACGATGGAGAGATTGATGAGAGCCATTGCTAGAAGCGTTGAGCCTGTGGGTAATATCACGCTTATCCTTGGTGTGGTTATTTACATATTTGCTGTGCTGGGAATAAAGGTATTCGGTAAATCTTACACACCAGATAAGTTTGGTGAAGATGGAGTACCACGCTGGAATTTCAACGACTTTTGGCACGCTTGTATGATGGTTTTCAGAGTGCTCTGTGGGGAATGGATCGAGCCGCTCTGGGATTGCATGAGAGCGACAAGTGCAGCTAAGGCAACGATGTTTTTCCTTACGGTTCTCGTTGTTGGAAATTTTATCGTGAGTTGAAACAAATTTTTTCTTACCCTGTACTGTTAACGTTGCCAGTCTTTTCTTTGCATATTCATTTGCATCTTTCCAATTTTCTGTGCTTTATCCCTAAGTTTTTTATGGATTAAAGTGCATGCGTACAATTGTACAGCAAGAGTGACGTAACTGACGAATTACTCTATGCATAGAATAAATGATGAATTTACAGCAGAAGCAACAATTATCAAGTTGTTGAAAAAGAAATAAAAAACTATTGAACGATTGTAAGGTCGACGTATGTGCAGGAGAACAGCTTCACCTTTGATCTTTTTGTTGTTGTATTTGTTTGATGTTTTCCAGGTACTCAACCTGTTTGTTGCGCTTCTGGTAAACGCATTTGACTTTAGGGAAACGGATGCAAATGCAGATGCTGACACACTTTCAATAGAGAGACAATCCAGATGCGACATTAAACAGGCATTCAGAACACGGAAATCTCGCCTTTTTGTAGCGAAGTACCGCGAGCCTTTTCGCCTTTACGAGCTTCAGGTTTTAGAGAGCAGCCGTTGCTCAGACGAAAACACCGGGGGCTCACTGGCAATATGCGACCCCGAGCACCATGATGAAGAATCCGATGACGTTGCTTGTAAAAGTGAGGAGAAAAATACTTTATATAGATCACTTTGTAACTTTCATACTGTTGCACTGTTACTGGTTAGGAAATCTGGTGCCACATTCTTGCCAATCAACTTAACCTGGCTCCTTTATCCATTTGCAGTCAACTCCGATTAGAGCGGACACTATTGGGACCTCGAGTTAGTGTCCTTATTAGCGAGAGTCCGTCATAACGGCAGTCAGTCGTCTGCAATTTATTTTTGCCTGGGATTTAGCTGCTGTCCGTATTATCGGAGTGTCCGTTGTTATAGCGGGGTGGCCGCAAGTCGGTCGTGAACCCTACTTTTCATTTATGGGTGCCCAATTAAAGTATATGCCCTTGCTGATATTCTTTTTAAAAAAGCGTAGGGGAAAACCGTTCCATCATATTTCATTTCATTCCCTTTCAGGGAGAGACTTTGATGAAAAAGACTCAAATACATCAAGAGATACTGTGCGGATGCCCGAAAATAACTCGGATTATTCGCCCAGTGGCACACTGACCATGGGATGTAAAATTGAACCTGAGGATCGAGATATTCCTGAAAATGGCGCAAATTTGTCGAAACCGTTACCCACTCGATATATGATGGAGATCGACGACTGCCTGCCGGAACGCTGCGTAAACGTTGATTGTCCATTCTGGAAACCACTTTCAAAGCGTCATTTTTGCTGGCTCAAGTTCCGATGCAGAGTGAGAGTTTTCGTGGAAAAAAAGTACTTTGAATGGTTTATCCTTGCCACAGTGTTCATGAGCAGTTTTACTCTGGTATGTTCGGTTTGTTGACCGTTACCACTGCTGAAAGATTTGTAAGAGACCTTAATCAAAATTTATAATTCATCTTAGTTGCTAAAAAATATATATCTACGTGTCGCAACTGTTCATCAGTAGGATGCCTAAAATGCGTGCAATTCCACAATTGGTTTCGGCTCCATTAAATCCTATAATACTATACTATACTGTCCTTAAGGTATTAAGAGCTTAACTCAACAACTTTTTAATGACAATTATTTACTTATTCTTGGAAAAACTTATTGTGCAACTTCATTCCAAAACTGTTTCCTTTTTTGCAGGTTTTTGAAGACGTCCATCTACACGAGAAACCAAAGCTCGCCAAAACTTTGGAAATTCTCAACTTCGTGTTCGCGGCCATTTTTACCCTGGAGTTTATACTGAAAGTAATTGGCTTTGGACTTATTAAGTACTTCTCCTCAGCTTGGAACTGTCTGGACACTTTTATTGTTTCGGTAAGTTGATTTGAAGGAAATACGAAATCGATGTTCTTAGGATTGTTTAAGCCGAGTATCTTATCTTTTTATACATCTTTTTCGTAGATCTCAATTGCATGCGTTTTTGAAAACAAGAACCTGGCTGTCTTTCGTTCCCTGCGTACGCTCCGCGCACTAAGACCTCTGAGGGCCATCTCAAGACTGGAGGGCATGAGGGTAAATAAGAGATTCTGAGCGTTTTTTCTCAGTTAGAAATATTTAATAAAGAGAATGTTACGGGAAAGTGTTTCACATGCCCCATTGATATACAAGACGACCCTTCTTTGGATGTCTTAATACGAAATAACAGAGTAAGGTATAGGAATTGGTGCCATAAGCCTGCGAAGATGAGCGTTTTAGAGCAAGGTTGCTATAATTGTTTTCACTATGTATGTCTGCTGGTTGTTAGTCTGTTTAAGTAAGAAGTAAAGAAAAACACTCTGCCAAACGTTCGAGAGAGGGTATTTGGTAGGATACAGTAATATTAGAATGTAACAAGCGAGGGAAATTTCAATTCACTTCGACTTACTTCGGGATGAAACATTTACGGCTTGCGGTCTTTTGCACGCAGTTACTAGTGTTTTGATAGCCTAAGCAGTAATACAACAAGCCGCAAAAAAAGCCCATTTTTAATCTGAAGAGTAAGTATAGTACCTCAAGCATGTGCCTTAGTATAAAAAGGGGCACTGGTCTCCTTAATTCCCAAGGTACACCTGGGCACCCCTTCTGAGTTCAAATTACCAAAATATTAATAAGCCATTGGCTAGTACTATAAGAAGTGAATCTACCAATCATTATTCAATTTGTTTCAGGTGGTAGTTAACTCACTCTTTGCTGCTATTCCTGGCATTGGAAATGTCCTGTTAGTTTCACTGCTCTTTTGGCTGATATTTAGTATCCTTGGTGTTCATCTCTTTTCTGGAAAGTTTTACAAGTGTGTGGACCAAGACAATGAAATATTACCCTTCAGCGTGGTCGCCAACAAAGAGGAGTGCCTCAGTCATCCTGACGGATATCGTTGGGTAAACTCCAAAGTGACATTTGATAACGTGTTCACAGGCTTTCTCGCACTTATGCAGGTGGTGAGTTAATTTTCTATATTTCTCGGTAATTTTCCTCGATAATACAACCTAAACAACCTAGGAGCATGTAAGGCGAAGCAAAGTAGTATAGTAGGGACCAAAGTACCCTCTTTTTTGCTGTGGAATCTAATTAACTTGGGGTGGAATACATTTCAGGCGACTTTTGAGGGCTGGATGGAAGTAATGAAGGACGCAGTCGACTCTACTGAGGTATGTATATTGCAGAAATCAACATTCGCGCGAAAGAAACTTGCATATTCATCATTTTCTGTGCTAAAAATTCTGTGGGCATGTTAATAGTTGTTTGTTAATAACAATAATATATTATTCCTAACCCCTTATGGGGCTTTTCAGGGATAATGAAACAAATAATTTAAATGAAACATAACATGGTTAAATATCCCAACTGGTAGGAGGCGAATCAGTTTGAAGTTTTACAAACGTGGCCGAGGATTTGGACACTGTACCACCGAGAACAAATCCAGCTAACAGTCAGGGCGGGACTCGAATTCGGGGCCTCCGAATTACCAGTCCAGCGCTCTAACCGCTCAGTCACGCTACCTCCGTTAAAATGTCGTTATGTTATGATAGATGTGCGTAAAGACACAATACGAACCTCAGTTTATGATTCATATTCCCAGTCGCGAAATTTTGCAAACCAGACTAAACATTAACTTTAACGTTTTCTTTCAAGAAAACGCTTCCAACCTTGACGGCAATTATTTGCCTTTTTAAGCAGAAAGGTTTGGTTCATCTCTTGCCCACACTAGATCTATTGGAATAATTCCTGGGGAAAACTAAATTGTCTGTTATGTGTTTCAGGTTGATATGCAGCCCAAGCATGAGAACAGATTAGTGTCGTACTGCTTCTTCGTTGCCTTCATTGTTGTAGGATCATTCTTTGTGTTGAACCTCTTTGTTGGAGTGATTATCGATAACTTTAATACCCTGAAAAAGAAGGTAAGGTACCTCAAAGTCTTCAAGTCAGTAGACAGGCAGATTAAATTAATAGACTTCTGTAATAACTGGAAAATCCCCCAAGCACAGGGGAAAATCTACCCAAAAACTGTTAAAATACTTCAGGATTCAACCCAAAAAATTCTTCTGTACAGGCCTGTCCCATTCATTTGCATTTCGCGCAAACATAAGCTTCCCTCTTGGTTCTTCTGTATTATCTCCCTGACCAAAAGCAGCAATAACTAGTTGCATGAGTCAAGGCCTGGGAATTCATCGAAAGTGAAAATTGAACATCGCCATATGGTTGTTGTACGATGCTAATGTCATCTACATTTTCTTATACAAAGCAAGGTGGGCTCCCTGTGGATGAGTTAGAAGATTGATGGGTCATCAGAACTTTTAACTGTAGATGCTCCATGCAATAGTTGCCTTCAAAGTACTGCAGTAAATGTACCCCATACTGTAATCAACGTCAAAACAATCTTTCGATTTTCTATCGTAGTATGAGGAACTCAACAGCATGGGAATGCTACTGACCGATAAACAGAGGAAATGGGTCAATTTTCTCAAGGAAGCTGCCAAAAAGAAACCCCCTAATCGACAGATTCGACCACAGGTATGTAGTCTTACCACCTCTCGAAATGTTCTCTCTCTCAGTTTTACTTTCGGTGGCGACCAGAGGTGAGACTGACTGGTACGTATAGTCTAGATGTTCCCTTGGTCGACGTGGAGAAAAATTTTTAAGTAAAAAGCAAAACGTCTTCGCAAGGAACAGACAAATATTGGCACAACACAGAACATGTGAACACTTTTCAGCAAATGACAATCGAGACTGTATCCTTAGATCAGAAATTGTAGCTTTATAACAATCCTTGATAACCTAGTCGGTGGAGGCTTCTTTATGTTGAAGACAGGTCATAATTTATCATTTGGTTTATTCTCATAATACATATGCTTGATTATGCAGAAACATTGGATGCTAATCACCGTGTGAACTTTGATGGTTGATTTTCTTGCTTTTAGGGACGATGGTGCGGTTTGTTATACGACGTGGTTTCAGGAGATAAATTTGAGGTGGTTATTCTTACAGTAATCATGTGCAACATGGTAATGATGACCATACAACACTATGGACAATCATCCCAAGTTTCAGACGTCCTTCATATCCTTTTTATAAAATGTCAACCTCGTTCTCTCCGACCCGGTTCTCTCCTACCCGTCCTTACGGAACGGGAGAGAGACGGGTAGGAGAGAGAACCTGGGAACGAGGTTTATAAAATGTCAGTGTCGGTCGTCTTCTCTCCTCATCCTTAAGATTAACCTTAAGATAAATTAGGTTAATGCAAGTTCATATGTGGCTTATTTCCCTTGACTGCTGTTTACGCCTGTCCAATTTTATTTTCACTGGGATATTTGTGTTAGAAGCTGTAGTCAAGGTTATTGCACTGAGGACACATTACTTCAAGAAGGCCTGGAACGTATTCGACTTTATCATTGTTATCAGTTCTCTTGTGGGTATGGAATTTAAAACTAATTTATGCCACCCTTTTGGACACAAAATTTAAGTCAGTGTATTTGGCAATAAAATGACAAACATTGTCCCTTGCATTCGAAAACACGTAAATAGTAATTTTGAAGAAAAGTCAAGTTGATAATTATAAAAGCTTGAAATTCAGGTACAGTTGTATGGTATACTATTTTTGTTTTCCCAAGGAATGATAATATAAGCGTGCATGGGGAGCAAAGGTAGAGAAGTGGTGAAAGCGCTGGGGCCGGCGTTGAAATCCCGGCGTTGACGCAATGTGCGGGTTGAGTTTGTTTCTGGTTCTCTCCCTTTCTCCAAGAGGTTTTTCGCCGGGTACTCCGATTTCTCCGTTGAGGAGAGTTTCAAAGGCACTTTTAAATAGGCCCTTTGCAGCTAGCCATTCACGTAGTACAGAACAACCATCTTGGAGAGCAAAAGTCGCACTGGGACAAAACAAATAAAAGCCATACATAATTTTAAATGGTAATTTCCTTTGCTTGTCTTATCCCAGTGCGAATTGTATCTCTCCAGCATGGTGGTTTTTTACCACGTGAATGGCTTGCTGCAAAGGGCCTATTCCAATTCCAACTGGAACGCAGATGTGTTCTTAAGAACTCCTAAGTGCTTCGTAGGTAAACAAATTAATTTTTTGGATTTAATTTGACAGATGTGATGCTTGATCAGTTTGATGCCAATCAAGGTGTAGTTAGCCCTAGTCTCCTCCGTGTCCTACGAATCTTTAGAATCGCCAGACTGCTCAGGCTAGTGGAATTCGCCAAGGGTATTCGTCAACTGTTGTGGGCTCTCATGATATCGCTACCAGCACTATTCAACATAGGCACTCTACTCTTCATGGTCATGTTTATCTACGCCATCATAGGCATGTCGGCGTTTGGTCACGTGAAACGCGCAGGTGAGTTAAATGACACTGTAAACTTCGAGACCTTTTTTTCTTCACTGCTGTTGCTGTTTCGTCTGGCTACTGGCTCTGGATGGAATGACATCATGGAAGCCTTGTTACTGGAACCACCAGACTGTGATCCCAGCTACCTCAATCTTCCCCATGGTAACTGTGGCTCGTTTGGTGCTGTGGTTTACTTGGCTAGCTACATCATAGTAGTGTTTCTTGTCATTGTAAACATGTACGTTGCCATCATTCTGGAAAACGTAAATCGTGCTCACGAGATCGAGGATTTCTGTATCACTAAAGAAAATTTTGACAGCTATTACGTATCATGGGGAGCCTTTGTTCTCGATGGAAAGCAGTACCTTCCAGTGGCTCAACTTTCGGAATTCGTGGCTTCCTTGGATAAACCGTTTATAATTCCCAAACCAAACTCTGAAATCTTGAGGGATATGGACATTCCGGTGCGATCAGGCGACGTAATATATTGCTTCGATCTGCTGAAAGCTCTGGTTCGGCGTGTTCTGGAAGAGCACGGTGAATCAGTAGAGGTGTTCAAGGAAATTACCGTGAGAATGGAGGCTAGCTTCAACAAGTCTTTCATAACCCAGAAGAGGATTTCCTCAATAAATGGGTCTACTAAGACTAAAATGCTTGAAGAGGTGTCCGAGACAATAACCTGACAAGTCAAGAATTGACTAAAGAAGGGCCAGTTTACTCAGCGAAAGAGCGTAGAGTGTTCGAGGTTATCAAACTCCTTGAAACATTGTTATAGCAACAGTTTTCCCAATGTTGCCAGTCTACAGGTCCGAAGTGATCCCAATTCTCAACCTCGAGAATAAGTAGAAATATTTATACAAATACTTTGGGACCAGGCAAACAAGCATATCAAAAACGGTATTAGTCATTAATAACGCACAAACTAAAGATCATGTAAGTATGATCTACTCTGGTTTTTCAGAGTATTTCAGCCAGCTTCATTGCGGCGATGATCTAACAAATGCGTTTCCAACAATCAGCTCTCATATATTATTAATTGCGAAGATTAGTTTAGAATCTAACCTAAAATAAAAGGGTCCCTTGTTTTTTGTCCTTGAAGTTTATATAATTTTATTTTGCAGGGCGACTATATTTTGCGGAAAAAGGTAGAATTTGACAAACAAAGAAGTTTTATAATAGATGCGCTTCTTTCGTGTTACCATAAAATAATGTACCATTACAGGTTTTTTCAATATGAGAGTCATTACGGTAAGTGAGCAATTTAAATCATGTTTTGAAAAATACGGAGTGCAACACCATGCTGTTGGGCTGCTGTTTTGCGCATGCTTCTGTCTCAAATATATAAACTGTATAGACATCAAATGGCAAAAACCATTACACGCTTACAACGATGGAAAAAGATAAATTAACTTCAACGCAGAGAATTCGGCTTGCTATCTTAATCATTTGTTGCTATCTCAGTCAGAAAATCGTCGTGGCATACGTTCGGTTAATAGCGTGGCAGAAGAGAACTGAGAGAATTACTATAGTTGATCTTAGTTTATATTAGTTTTGTGTTCCTTATTTTAATATTACCTACATATTGTATCGCTGTCGTCATAGCAAAGTATGTAATTTTGTTGGGCGAATAAATAACAGGCAAGCCTTTAATTCGAATCTCTGATTCAGTATTATTTATATGTCAGGGGCGGTTTTAAAATAATATCACCACTATTACAACCAGCTTGTCTCCTCTAACATCTTAAAACCATCAAACACATACATAGAGTAGTATTTCTCATATTGTACCGAATGCAACATTCAATTCTACGAAAGGTGAAACGAAAAGAAAACAAAATTCTAGACCTTTTTTGTGCAGCGGCTACAAGGGGAGATGTGTGAAGAAATACAGTTTTAGCGTTTTCATACGCATTTCAATACTTTGCAGATTCCCGAGTTTATTTGTGATGACAGTGTAATCAATTCTTCTGATTTTCCTGTAAGTTTTTTCCTGTTTTCTCTTGATCATCATAAAAGGAGTTTCACATAATTCATAGAAAAGCTGATTTGAAAATTTAACCTCAACGCGCAAATGAACAAGGTAACCGATATGTGAAGTCAAACTGCCATTCAAGAGTGTGTCGATATGATATAGCCTTTGAAACAATTCCACATTTCTTATAAAAAATTTTAGAATAAAGTTAGCCTGAGAAAACAGCCGACATTTGGCGACGCTTTCACTTGTTTCACCGCCGTATAACCTCTGAGAAACGAGCGAAGAAATTCCATACTGACGGCACGTCACTACCCAGATCTGCGTAGTGCTTCTGATTGGTCGTGCCGCGAGGGAAATTTGATTCAACCAATTAGAAGCACTACGCTGATCTGGGTAGTGACGCGTCATCAGTATGGAATTTCTGCGCTCGTTTCTCAGACGTCATTTGGCGGGAAAACCAGTGGTAGCGTCGCTAAATGTCGGCTGTTTTCTCAGGCTAGAATAAAGTGCACGTTGAAAACGAACACGATTAACAATAATATCATTATTACCGAAATTCCGTGGCAGTAAAAAATGGAAATTGTAAAAACGGATAAGTTTTGACAACGTTTCGCCTGGGTACGTCACTATCTATTGTCAGTTCAAGAAAATTCACAAAATTTATAAGATGACAGAGAGTGCTAATTACATATAGGGGGAATAATAACTAATTGCATAATACTAACCCGAGTCAGCGCAAATTGTGAATGCAAGTGACGTAATACAGATACAAACAAAAGAAAAACTAGAGGAAGTGTCAAATTGTGATCAGTGATTGATTTGTTTATTCACGGCGGGTTCTTTCCATTGAATATGAAAGACTTTGCAGTGAAACCACGAGCCGCAGGCGACTGGTTCCTCTTGAGTTTTGAACATTTTATGACGTCATTTCTGTGGTCTGTAAGAGTGCAGACCATAGAAAATTGTGGTCGATTTGTTAACTGGAAATTATCACATTCACGGACAAAGAAGCGACATGTATGTAGTCAAGGCTCCTTGTTATGTAAATATTCAGATCCAGTTATTTCAATCGGAGAAAATCAAAGAAACTAAAATCTTTATTCAGCCGTTATAAAAAGCTTTATGCTTTAAGAGTGGTCAAAAAAGGGTATTTTACACCTACATCTGAGATCAACACTGAAATCCTATCAGAAACACCCACAGACTTAATTAAGCATCAACCACAGGAAATAATTACTCAGTATGCGGGATGAAACAAACCAGCTTCATGACCCCTAAATAAATATGACTTAGAGAGGCAAAAATAAGATTTACTCAGTCAAGTTTAGGATGCATTGTAGTCACCTAGCTACGCGAGAGATAGAATTGAAGAAAAACCTGTGTTTGTTTAAGCAAACTCGAAGACCACGTTTCACATTATCACGAGCTTTTGATTCGTATTTAGCCTGTCAACAATTTTTTTCTGATTGGCTGGGAAAATAGAGACCAAGCAAGTTGCCAACAGGATGTCATTAGTTGAAGGGGGCGATCCACGATATTCATTTTACCTAAGATTTCCACAAGGTATAGACGAGCACCGGCTTATTCCAACATTTGTGAAACAAGGCCATCAGTTACTGTACGAGTCGCCGCGGTTGAAAAGATTCTCCATTGTGACGCAAAGGTAAGCGCTCTAGATTTTTACTAGCTCGAAATCATTCAGTATTTTTTTCCCTTTCACAAGTTATTTTTGATGTTGTAGTCTTCCACCCTTATTAATCTAATGGGTATTTTTTAATAGCAACATATGCTCATGCTGCTAGGCTCGAAATAAGTCCACAAAATCCAACAGAGTTTTATTTCATCTTACACGATCAGACCGGATTAAATCGATTACAATCGCTCGAAGACCCTCAAACGACTTACGCTCGCAAACTCATGCTCACACGAAGCATTTCGTTACGTGATCTTTACGTCATCTCACACCCTCCCCTACTATATATAATGTCTTCCAAGGCAGTTCTACCAATCTTTAGAATCGCCAGGTTGCTCAGGCTAGTGGAATTCGTCAAGGGTATTCGTCAACTGTTGTGGGCTCTCATGATATCGCTACGAGCACTCTTCAACATTGGAACTTTACTCTTCATGGTCATGTTTATTTACGCCATCATAGACATGTCGGCGTTTGGTCACGTGAAGCGCGAAGGTGAGTTAAATGACACTGTAAACTTCGAGACCTTTTTTTCTTCACTGCTGTTGCTGTTTCGTCTGGTTACTGGCTCTGGATGGAATGACATCATGGAAGCCTTGTTACTGGAACCACCAGACTGTGATCCCAGCTACCTCAATCTTCCCCATGGTAACTGTGGCTCGTTTGGCGCTGTGGTTTACTTGGCTAGCTACATCATAGTAGTGTTTCTTGTCATTGTAAACA